CTGGGCGCCTTCTGGGGCAGAGGGCTCGATTTTTCAGTTCTCGGTTCCCCTCTTGAGCCCCTCTTGGGCCCGTCTTGGGGCCTCTTGGTCCGTCTTGGGCGGCACTTGGGCCGTCTTGGGGGCCCTCCTGGGCCGTTCCGGGGCCGTCTTGGGAGCCTCGTGGGCCGTCTTGGAGCGGTCTTGGGGGCCTCTTGGGCCGTCTTGGAGCGTCCGGAAGCCGAAAAAGCCAGAACGCAAAAAACATAGAAAAAAACTATGAAAATTAACGATTTTGGCCTCTTGGGGCCCTCTTCGGAGGCCTCTTGGAAGGCCCTTGGGGCGTCTTGGAGGCCTCTTGGGCTGTCTTGGGGCCCTGTTGGGCGTCTTCGGGCGATCTTTGGCCGTCTCGGGGCCCTCTTGGACCGTCTTGGAGGCTTCTTGGGGACCTCTTGGCCCGTCCTGGTGCCCTGTAACAGAACTCCGGCATCTCTGACCCGACCTTGCCGGGGACTTGCCGGGACCTTGCCGGGGTATTTTTCGTCCGGGGACCCCCAGGGGCCGCCCCGCGCGCGCGAACTAGAAATACTGTTAACCAGGTACCTGAGATCTTAGCACGCCCTGGCCCGTTGGGCCGGCGAATTGTTCTTCTCATGCCTTCGCCCGTCTCCGTCCTCGTCCCGCGTCACCCATGCCTCATCTTCACCTCCTCCTCCTCCTCCTCCTCCTCCTCCTCCTCCTCCTCCTCCTAGGCTGCATTCGCCTCCTTGTAGACCGCTCCTGCCCACAGTCCTCGAACCTCCTCCTCGTACTCCTCCTCCTCCTCCTCCTCCTCCTCCTCCTCCTCCTCCTCCTCATCCTCTTCCTGCCCCGCCTCCTCCTGCTGAGGAAGGAGCAGCTAGCCACTCGATTGCCAAGGTATTGCAAGATGTCTACGTTGGTAGTCTCAAGTGGCGAAGAGAAATTCGGGGGCCTTTCGCTCAGATGGCTCAGGCTGCTGCAAGGAATACTGAGCCCCACTTTGCCAAGCCTCCGAAAGCGGTTCGCCCCATAGAGCTCACTTCTCACGAATTCAGGTTTTGTGAGAGACTGTCTGAGTACAGTTGTTGCCGACGCGATCGATTTACTAGGACACTGGGTTGTTTTAGAGCGCTTCGCGCCAGCTATGCCCGAGAGATGAACTTAGGCTTGCAAGTGCAGCTCGGTTCTTTCGTTGCACGCCCGAGGTTTACTGCCCCTCTGGAGGCAGTCCGGGTGGCGTTGCAAGCCGCCCAGGCCTTCGAACACCGGTGATGAGCCCAGAGGTGCAGGCCCACCCCCGCTGCAGGAGGCCAACCGAGGCAGCGGCCACGAAGGCGAACGTTTCGGATCGGTCGTTTTCTGGCCCGCACGCGGCGCCCATAGTGTCTCAGGCGGGCGCAGCCCCAAGTTGAGCAAAGAGTGCAAGGGACTTCAACGAGGAGGCCCAGATTTCTCGTGCGATGCACGCGCAGCACTCCCAGACATGCCGACACTTGGAGCCAGGCCTGTTGGTCTGCCCGTCTGCCCGTCTGAATTACCTCTTCCGAGTGTTGGTTGAGGTCGTTGTCGTCCCGTTGCAGTGGGTCTTGCTGGTGTGGGTAGGTAGTATGTGGTGGTGCGCCAGACTCACCGTATGCGGCGTCGTCCCTATGCGGTCCGACGCCGATGTGTGACCGTCAGTATGAGCCCGTTGATTCCTCAGCAACATCGGCTTCGTTGTCCGTCGTAGCCTTGTCGGTGGGGGTGTTGGCCTCGGGGGTCACAGCGACGATGATGTGGGGCTCGCTGGGGTCGATAGTGGCCCTCTTAATTCTGCGTGCGCTTGCGCTCAATGTTGTCGGCGCTGGATGCTTCCGTGATGGTGGTGCCGATAATCTTTTCCCGGTTGTGCCAATGAAAGTTCTGTAGGGGCTTATTGGTTTTGGTGCCATTGACTCCGTCGGGGTGATGCCACCCTCCCTTTTCCTCACAGTTGATGGCGTGTCGATGCTGATGATCTCTGGATCGTTGTTGGATGGTGGATGTGGTTGTCTTGGCGGCATGGATCCTGGTGTCCAAGCTGGTGGCGTCTGCCATTATATCTCGTCGGTATGCTGAGGTTCTCCTGGTGGCGTAGTTGCGCATCTCTGTGTTCTTGGCGGAGTGGACATGTGGTCTTACCCCAGAGGATGCTCGCCAGGTTGCGATGCTAGTACTGCATGTGCTGCAGCTTCTCGGAGCATTTCGTCAGACTGTGTCTGGGTCTTCTGTGCTTCCCCATCCTCCAGTAGATGCTCAAGTGGTTGGACAGTAGGGAATACTGCAGTCGTGGCGGCTGTAAGGTCCTCGTCGTCCGTAGCGATCGGCACGCTGAGAGCTTGGTTGATGGCGTCGACCATCTCGGCGTTGTTGAGGCGCTGCTGAGCGAAGATAGCCGCCTGTCGGGCGTACTGGAACTCCTTTGTAGCTTCCTCCATCTTCCTTTCGTGCGTCTCCTTGATAAGTTTCCACTGCGTCTCCCTGTGGTGGTATGCTGCATGTCATGTTGAAATGCTTCATGTTGTCCTGCTGTGCCCATCTCAGCTCGCTGCAGTGCGAGCTGAACCTGTCCTTCAGCTTGTGGAGCATTATAATTCACTTGCTGCTCGTAGTTGTGCATGTTGGTAATGACCTGTTGGAGATATTTTTCTTGTTGCCTGGTGTTCTCAAGGTTACGTTTACGCATGTCCTGCTCGATGCTGGCACGCTTCAGCTGGTACTGGTCGTTAGTCATGTGGATGGTGGCCTCCATGCGCCTGTGTTGCTCCAATACTTCCTGGTTCGCTAGTATGGTTCTTTCCTCTGCATCCCCCAACATCTGATGCAGGATGCTGTTGTCGTTGTGGTCCTTGGTTCTGTATTCTACCGCTTTGGCTTCGATGCTGGCGATGTGGTCCTCGGCTTCCAGGGTCATGTTGTAGTAAGTCTGCCTTGCTTGCTGCTAATCGTTCTGCGTCTCGAAGGTTCCTGACCATGTTGTCCCGCATGTGGCTGCTGCCAGCAGGCTTCGTTTGCATTTCCTGGAGCTCCCTCTGCAGTTGGTTGTCGTGTGTTGTCAGAAGCTAATGTCCCATATCGGCTGGAGATCTCTTAATGGCTTCGACATCCTCCTCCGCCCTGTTACGCGTCTCCGCGTTGACGGTTTGTTTGTACTTGCGGTGTGTTGTCATCTTTTCTGTAGCTTGGTTTGAGTTTTGCATATCCTTCTTCAGCTCGTTGTTGTAGACATCGGCCCTTGCCGCCTCAAGATGATGGTTATTTTCATGTCGGCGTGCAGCTTCCCCTGCTGCACGGAGGTGTAGTTTGAGGTTGTTGATTTCGTCGCTGGCGTCGGCCTTGTTTTCTCGATATCATTGACCATGCGCTGGCCGTCCTCCTTCAAAATCCTGAGCATGGTGCCGAGGTCCCGCCCGTCTGTGGCTTCGCCTGCCTTTGTATGCCTCATTGGTGCTGGTGACGGTGTAGTCGATCTTCTTGGCGGTACGTTCCTTTGTGGTTGGTCTGCGCCGTCATCTACAGCTCCTGTGTCGCTGTGCCGATTATCTCTTGCATTGCTGGTGTCGCGTTGGAGGTTTGTTAACTCCTCAGTGTTGTTCTCGATCTCGTCCATGTAGATCGTTATATGTTGCTGGCGGATATTGGAGTGCTCGTAGTAGTCTTCCATGGTCCTCTTGGTATTGTCTATCTCCCTCGCCTGCTGGGCCAGAGGCAGGCCGTTGAGGACCATCGCTTTGATAAAGGCGATCTATGTGACCGCGTCGGTAGTAGGTAAATCTGCTGTACTGTTTTTGACGATGGCAGCTGCCGCTCTTCGCTCCTCGGCGTGTTTGAACTTCTTCCATTCGTCTTTCAGCTTCTGGTCGTTTGGAGGTAGCTCCCAGTCGTGCCTCCTGACGGCGTAGATGTTCCTTATGGGCATGACTTTGTTGATCGTGTTGGTGATGTGCTCGTTGTAGTTGGTGTTGTAGTTCTGCCCGTCGTCCTTCTTCTCGGGCGTCTTTTCCTTTTCGGGCTGGGTCTTGCCCTTCCCCCTTCTGTTATTGCCCTTGACCGTCTGGTTGTTGTTGTTGGCGGGATCCTGGTGGTCGTCCCTCCCTTTGCCGTCCTGGTAATTGCCCTTCTCATTGAGGTTCTGGCTCCTCCAGGTCTTATCCTGGTGGTTGTCGGCCCATTGGTCGATCCAGTTGTGTTTTTCTAAGGCTCGAGTCCTGCGCCGATGGCTGATGTAGTGGGCCTCGGTGTTGTGGCTCTGGATCGTGGGCGGCTCGATGCTGATCTCCACGGTGGTTGCGCTGATCCCGATCCGCTCGCAGTTGCTCTTCATGATGTCGCCATGGCTAGACCTTGAGGTGGGTGTCGCGGTGGTTGTTGCGCGCTGTGGTTTTCTCATACTAGTTCCCGTGCTTTGTGAAGTCGAAGTAGGACGCGGGCGCCAGCACGCTGTCGACGGAGTCGCCTGTGCTAGGCGGGGTTCCTTGACCTGGTAGTCATGGGTGCAGTCGTGGGCCCAAGCGGGGCACGAGAACAAAGGTTCAGGTTGTGGAAGTCGGCGTGCTATCGCGGCCGCCTTGGGAGGGAGAGACGGGCGACACGCTGGCCGCCGCCTCGAACGAGGTCGATGGAGGTCCGCGCCTCGCGGGAAACCTCTCGGGCGCACGCGGCTCTCCTCCTCCTCCTCGTCCTCGTCCTCGTCCTCGTCTTCCTCTCCTTCTTCCTCTTCCTTCTCCGCGCCATCATCATCCTCATGGGTCCCTTTCCTCCTCCTCCTCTTCCTCGTCCTTCTGCTCGTCCTCCTGCTCCTCCTTCTCCTGTTCCTCCTCCTCTTCCTCTTCCTCCCTCCCCTCGCCGTTTCGGTCCTGCCAGATCCCCGCTCATCTTTCCTCTTCCTTCTCTTTCCCCTTCGTCTACATACTCCCTCACCCTCGCTCCCATCCTCCTGTTCCTCCTGCCCGCCCACGCGCGTCGGGAACCCCGGTCCGGCACAGGACGGGACAGAAGATCTTGGAACACGATCGGCGCGCGGGAGTTTGGTTAATTGCACCTGCCCCGCTTGCTTGGCAGAGGGTAAAGAGGAGGAGAAGGAGGAGGAGAAGGAGGATGAGAAGGAGGAGGAGAAGGAGGAGGAGGAGGAGAAGGAGGAGGAGGGGTAGGAGGAGGAAGACCAGCATCGACTGCGTCGACGACACGCTGAGACTGGCACAAAGCAGAGACAACACCTTGCTCGAGTTCTACATGTCCGAAATAGCCACCATCACACTCACGCACCACCGACTAGCTACTGCGCCAAGCTCAACTACGACGGCTCTACGAAGGGATTACACCGACGATATACTGTCGTATTTGGCATCAGCACGTACCCATTTGCACGCACTTCATCCCTGCTCAACAGCCGTCCGAGTGGCACACCAAGTCAGCAAGTAACGAGCAGCATTGGCACCACTGAAAGCTGCGCACTTGAAACACAACAGGCTGAGGAACAGCACCAATGTACAACTTGCCGACACTTTTGCCAATTGCCAACTCTTCAACCAAGCAGAAGCTTGGAGCCCACTTCGCCGGACGACTTCGGCACAAGCCAGACCCACCGCAGCGCAGCAAAGACGCTTTTCTGATTCTTACAAGGCAACGACTCATGTCACCGACCAGCGATTACATACCACTGCCCAACGCTTTGATTATGAGAACGAGCTACGACCGAGACGACTCAACACACCACGGCTACTTCCCAACGCACCACACACGGAGGTGTTGCTGGTGGGATGGGGGGCGAGGGAGCTTCGAAGCTTCTGCGTGCTCCAGCCGCTTGAATACACCCACTACCGCACCATGCTTCACAACTCACGAATAATTCCGTGCTGTCCGCCACGCTCTGTTTTTTGTTCTCGTCGGGAGGCGTCCGCCCACCTCTTCTCGGTTTTATGCCGCTTCTTTCTGTTAATGTTCGCTCTTCTCTCTCTCTCTTTCTCTCTCTCTCTCTCTTTCTCTCCCTCTCCTCCTCCTCCTCCTCCTCCTCCTCCTCCTCCTCCTCCTCCTGTTCGTCGATTTTCGTGCATAATTCACGCGTGCAGAAGTAGGTCGGGGGGCCGTGCTTTATATCGGCACCACTACTGAGGGCCGTGAGCGCTGACCATCTCGTTGCTGGGGGAAAACAAAGACATACTATTACGATTCATTGACCTCGCACATGAACACGTCATAACAGACACTACCACCACAGATGCCACCCCCACTACCTCGGTCCACATGGTCCCATTTGACCTAAGATGACTGACCATCATTACGACACAGTCGGACGACCCTCAACGATAATGGACCACAACACGTGGGCTCGAATCCGCACACGATACACCCACACATGACCTACGCCAAGTAGAGCAAGCCAAGCTCAGCATAAAGATGACGTACGTGGGCCCAACGATATTCTGGCAGCAGCACATACAGCAGAGCCATACAAAGAACACGACATCTCAGCACCAGCATCAGCCAGGCAGCAAACGGTCTTATTATACGACGAGTGTGGCCACAGTTCCATCACCATTGGGGATTGGATAGCCCACCGCACCAAGAAACGTCTGGAGCATACGAGATTGCAAGCAGAGCCGACGACAGCGTCCGCAAACGCTGCAACGTGCAGTTCTCCACACGGCTGGGACTCCCGACGCACCGACGGTACAGAGTAGCACGCTGCCGTAACTACTACATGCAGCATGTGCAACCGATGCTACACGAAGCTATACAAGCACTGCAGACGCGCGACTGACACGACACAGGAGCGAACAAGGGCAAACGATTACGAGCCGACACAGCCACGACCACAGCGATCAAGCCTGCCAGCTACAAGCGACACACCCGAGCACTTCACCCACCAACCACGACCACAGACCTACCAGCTACAGCCAGACAGTAGGAATCTGATCTACATCCTGCCCTTCTTTCAGAACGCAAGGTGCTTCAACGACCTTCAACGGCCTCTTGAGCACAATTGCATCACGCAGTGGTACACGTGCATCAGTGTTGGATACGACAGCGACTCACCACTCGACCTAGCAGAGATAGATGTAACGAACATTTGGGCCGAACGAATCGTATAAGGCCAGATAGCAGCCATCATTGCACGACCTTCCAATGACACATGGACAGCCTCAGTGACACACAAGACAACCACGGAGCAATGGGGAGCACCCAACCAGTCGACTCAGCAATTATTGCGCACGAGTCTCCGGCAGGCGCGCGCAAAACGTGATCTTACTGCTGCGCATCGCCAAATACACACAGTTACCAGCTGTCTTTTTTCAAACCACCCAAGATGGCACTCGAGCGCGCCCAACAATGGCAGATACCTTAGCTTCGCCAAGTAGCATCGGCGACACAAGCGGTTGACCTCGACCAATGCATCTTCGGCAAGCCGACCAACGCACCGACAAGGGCATCGGCTCTAGACTTTCCAACATCGGCAATGGATATTTCATCAGTACGCAACAGAAATAGATGCCAGTGTCTATCACACAACCCTGCACCCTACTTTCCAGCCAGGGCGCATGCAATCTACCGACGGACCTCCGTCGACTTTCACCGATCATTTAGCGAAGGCTTTGACGCAGTGCGCGGCACCTGTACCTCATTCTGACTGACCCCTCTTCGACCGGCATATACCACAGGACTTCTAGACCACATGCGAGCACTGCGGGTTGCTCCATGTCTAGCCCGTCTGCAAGGCACCCAGCTATACGACGCGCATTGCGCCCGCATCGCACCAGACCACGCCCAGTACAGCGTCGATTTTCACAGAGCGCACCACGCCCAACCATGCGCCCACATTGGCCACGGCCATACGCCCAATCTCAACAGCGCCGACAACCACAGAGATTGTCCACCATTGCAGATCTTCACCAGCCCGACCCTTCCCATCATCCAACAGCATCCAATACCAATAACAGCAACACCATCAACATATACATCTCTACCGATACCACTAACAATGACGACGACGGCACCGAACTTAACGCCAGCATTGTCCACATACAGCAATGCAACAGCACCACCTCCCATCGTCGACATTTAATGCATTGACCAACATCACCGAGATCCCGACCGTCGCCTACCAGCACTCGCCTCCACCAGCATCGACCTCCACCGCCAGCACTCACAATTCCTACACCGACTTCATAACTTACATAAGATCTCGACCAGCACCGATCCCCTATCAGCATCACCACGCCGAAAATATCAACCACCACCGTCGACCTTCACCAGCATTGACCTCAGCCATCAGCACCGAACCCCAGCAACAAATCCGACGCAACAACGACGACCACCACCGTCAGCACTAAACGTCACCAGCACTACCAGCACCATCACCGACCTCCACCGGCGTTGGCTACACCAGCAGCGCTGATCGCATGCCAGCATCGGCCTCCACCCACCAGCAGCGCCCTCCACCTCCAGCATCGGCCACGCCAGCATCAATTGCAGAGAGCGAAGACCACGCTGCAGCATCGACCTGCTCACCATTTTGGCGACGGGAGGCCCAGCCCGCGCCCGGCATGGGGGCCCTTGCGCAATGCCTCGGGTTAGGCGCGGGGGCCAAGGCCAAGCTTGACCACCCCTTGACGCCCCCCCAACACGCAACGCGCCGATCTCGTCGACCATGCGAGCACCTCAAGTGCTTACGAGCAGGCCCTGGTGGATCAGCCTCACCTCCACTCTCATGGGCACCCGCAGTTGACGTCGAAGTGGAAGTCTCCACTCCAGCTCCTGGCCCATCTCCAGCGAGGTGATCAGCCCCAGGTCGGGCATCGCTGAGCATCCCGTCATTTTCTTCTGAGCACTCCGTCATTTCTTCAGATCACGCAGATGGTGCCAAGATAGCTCCCCCAATACCCCCATGAGGTCATTGCTCGGCTTTCCCACTGGATGTCGGAGACAGCGGGCCGCTGGTTCGGCGTTTGATACCGTGCAACGTTGTTTTACAACCGTGAACTTCGACGTTGGCATATCCTGACCACCAGCGTCGACCATGCTATTGCCGACTTCAATGGTCGCAACGACTCCGACTAGCACCGCCCACGAGTGCCACCTATCCGACAGCATTCACCGTCGCCTCCGACCACCACCATCGACCTCAAACACCACAGACCTCAACCACCAGCACCGACCTCAACCAGCAACTGCACACCAACAACGACCCCCGCCACCAGCATCAATGATCACCTGCACAACGAACACCAGCACCGCGTTGACCACGCCAACAAGTAGCACTGACCACTACCGACAGCGACTCTACCTACCAGCACCGACCTCTACCTCTTTTCTTGCAGACTCAGAAGACCCTAGTGCTCTCTCTATCTATGGGCGCGAATTGCAATGCAATGCTTGCATTGCCAAGCATGCAGGTTAGGGATGCCCTACTGCAAAGCTCCCACCAGGCAGCTTACGGCGAAATAGGTCTGGGTGTGTCGCCCGGTAGTTTGCACCAGTCGCAATGCCCTTGCCAGCCACCTCATTTTTTCCCCTGCAGCAGCTGTCAGCAACTTTTCTTCCCTTACTGTCTACACGACCCTTGCAGGCGCGCGATCTCACCACAGAGGTGACTGATTTAACACGGTGCCTCCTGGCAAAGATCACAAACTTACTCGGGAGGAGGGAGGCGTGCACTGGGTGGGAGGGGGGAGGATCAAATACACTAAAGCGCATCTATCTGCTCAGCAGACCGAGATGATACTTTGCCACATGCGTGTTCTCTCTTACTAGCCCTTGGTTAAACGCAGGCTAGCTAGTTCTCAGGCCGGCCTCAACTTACCAGCCGTTCGAGGTTCAGCCCCATCCTGCGTTACCAGTGCCAGTGCGTACTGCAGCAGCTCATATTGCCTGGGGTCGTTTTCCCCAGCCTTTTATAAGGCTACCAGTGGTGCTCCTCTAGGTCGGGCGAAGAGAACTATACACATGCACCGATCTTGGCAAGGCCCATCCTGCACCCAGGATCGGTGCGTATACCTTCCTGGACAAGGTAGGAGGGCGTATGCACCGATCCTTGGCTCAGGATGGGCCTGGCCAGAATCGGTGTGTGTGTGTGTGTGCGCATAGTTATCTTTCCTCCTCTAGGTCTGAGCGTATCACATTCTCGTCCAAATCCCACCCCCACCCCCATGCCAGGGTGCGGCGAAGGTGCGTCCCCGCCGAGGACCAAAGAGCGGGCCTGCAGCTGGCAAATAAACGTCGGGACACGTCAAGCCCAACCACTCGACTTCTACAGCGCCAACCCCACGCGCACTGCGGGAGGGGAGGGGGGGCATCAGATGGACTTAGTGAGGACATACGAGGTGAAGACACGCACCTCGGCAGGGGGAACTTGATCCCCTCTGTGGTCTGCCGTCTCGCGTTCACTGCCTCGTGAATTGCCTGTTCGCCATCGCCCTGCACCACTTTTCAAGGGTGCCCATGCACTTTGATACTTCGTACAGGAAGCACCGACCCGCTACTTTGAGCTTGCTCGCCTCTCAGACTACGGATTAGGGGAGTGGTTCAGTGTGCCGGAGCTCTGGGATGGGGGAGGGTAGTTCCTGCTCTTTCACTTCTACGTTTAATCAGCAAGAGTGCAAAGCCATAGGCCCGCCATTATTGTGCCAACCCCACCCCCGAACCAGGCCTGTAGTCATATAGACTATGACAGTGGCTCTTTACTTCGATGCCCTCAGCCATCCAAGACAGGCCAACCTACACAGAAAGTGCCAGCCTTACATTGTGCACACCGCCCCATTTGTATCGAGCCCTGCTACAGCGCCAGCCTACAGACACTTGCGAAGGGTTGGGAGGGATGATGTATGGGCGCGGGACGAGTCTAGTACTGATAGCGTCGGCGGCATGTCTGACTGACCCCTGGGGCCCACGCCAACAGGGACAAAACTTGAACACCAAGCATGCGCGCTGTAATGTTATCCCTGTGAGCTCGCGAGTGAATTTCGACCTCTCTTGTACGGATTCCTCCTTGTTGTTTATGTTACGTGTGTTGGTTGTTTCCCCTCCCTCCCATCGGCTGCTGGTTAGTTACTCTGCGCCCTCTAGGGGACCTACCTCATATTGCGAAGGCCTTACGGCAGGTGCCGTCGTCCCTGAATGGGGAACGACGACAACGGTGGCGACGGCGACGACAACGACGCTGACGTGGGTCAGAGTCCTCATGGATGCTTCTTGGGGTCTCTTCGAAGCGCTCTCGGGGGCCCCTTGAGGGCCTCTTGGGAGCCTCTTGGGGGCCTCTCGGGGCTTCCTGGGGACCTCTTAGGGGCCTCTTGGGGCCTCTTGGGGGCCTCTTGGTTCCTCCTGGGAGCCTCTCGGGGCCGAGGGCTCGAAATGTCCGTTCTAGTCCCTCGTCTGGGCACCCTCTTGGAGCCATCTTGGGGGCCTCTTGGGCCGTCTTGGAGGCGTTTTGGGCCGTCCTGGGGCCCTCTTGGGCCGTTTTGGGTCCCTCCTGGAGCCCTCGCGGGCCGTCTTGGAGCGATCTGGGGGGCCTGCTGGGCCGTCTTGGAGCGTCGGGAAGCGGAACAGACGAGAACGCCGAAATGCATCAAAAACCAATGGGAAATCAGTGTTGTTTCCTCTTGGGGCCCTCTTTGGAGTGCTCCTGGAGGCCTCTTGGGGTGTCTTGCAGGACTCGTGGGCCGTCTGGATGCCGTCAAGGCGTCTTGGACAGATCGTTCGGCGATTCGGGGTCCTTTTGGACCGTCTTGGGGGCCTCTTGGGGCACTCTTGGCCCGTCTTGAGGCTTTTTTGGGCCCCAGGACCCCCCGGGGGGGAGTCGTATCTGACCCGGGTCCCCCCCCAGGGCCCCCCCCCTGGCGGGGGAGGGATCAACGGGAAGGGGCTTCTCTTCGAGTCAATTACGACCTTGCTCAATTTCGCTGAATGACGGAGGCGCCGACTCGAACGGACAAGCCCCTCACACGCGCCGACAAGGTCGGCGGATTTTGCGATTTCTGTCGGCCAGACTTGTGCCCGCACTGGCAGCAGCCTTAATTTGTTCGCACATGCCTAGGTCGGGGTAGTACGGTTTTTGTTGTTCAAGGAATGTCGCAAGCTCTGTCTTCATGTCCGCCAAACGCAAAAACAAACGGAGGAGAAGGAAGAGGAGGAGGATGAAGAAGAGGAGGAAGAGGAAGAGGAGGAGGAGAGGGAGGAGGAGGAGGAGCAGGAGGAGGATGAGAAGGAGGAGGAGGAGGAGGAGGAGAAGGAAACGGAAGAGGAGCAGGAGGAGGAGGAGGACGAGGACGAGGAGAAGGAGGAGGAGGACGACGAGGACGAAGATGATGACGAGGAAGAGGGACGATCTGGGGAAAGAGGAGGATGAGGAGGAGGAGGAGGAGGACGAGGAGGACGAGGAGGGGGAGGAGCAGCAACACCAGCACCACCAGCAACATCAGGATAGGGAAGAAGGAAGGTGAGGTTGGATGAGGCTGAGGGGCAGTGAGAAGGGGATTGCGAGGCAGAGGAGGAACAGGACGAGGGATTCGATGGATGAGGAGGAGGCGGCGGCGGCAGGGATCGGATGAGGCCGTGGGAGGGGTGGAGGGTGAGGAGGGTGAGGGTGAGGGGACCGCGACGACGACACACCACTACGACGACGACGACGACGACGACGACGACGACGACGCCGACGACGACGACGACGACGACGACGACGACGACGGCGACGGTGACGGCGACGGCGACGGCGACGGCGACGGCGACGAGGGCGAGGGCGAGGGCGAGGGCGAGGGTAACGACCAGCCCCTGTCCTCTCAGGCGCGCGGCGGACATGGACGGCCAGCGGGCGCGCGGGGCGGAGCTGCGGGCGGCCTACAAGGAGCGCGCCTCCGCCGCGAGGGCGGCCGCCGACGGGCTGAAGGATCCGCGAGGGGGGGGGGGCGAGGCGAGCGCGAGCAGACAGGGCGCAGAGGGCGGGAGGGCGGATGGAGGGGACTCAGGAGGAGGGCTGGACGTTAGTCCACTTCCTCCTCCTCCTCCTCCTCCTCATCCTCCTCCCCGTCCTCCTCCTCCTCCTCCTCCCTCCTCCTTCCTCCTCCTCCCCCTCCTCCTCTACCTCCTCTTTTTCCTCCTCTTCCTCCTCCCCCTCCTCCTCCTCCTCCTCTTCCTCCTCCTTTACCTCCTCCTTGTCCTCCTCTTCCTCCTCCTCCCCTCCTCCTCCCCCTCCTTCTTGTTGTCATCCTCCCATTATGGAGGAATAGTGAAGGGAACCGGAAACCCAGAACTGGGAGCCGGGAGCTGGGAATCGGGAACCAGCAGATGGGAATTGGGAACGGGGAGCTGGGAGCCAGGATACCGGAACCGGGAACCGGGAAACAGGAATCCATGATTTGGGGCAGGTGTTCGGGACATGGGGAACCAGGAGAGGGAGAACGAAGAATAATGATAACATGTATGTATGTATGCATGCATGCATGTATGTATACATGTGCATATGAATGTATTTACTCATATAAAACATGTATGTATGTATGTATATGTATATGTATGAATGTATGTATGTATGCATATGTGTATGTGTGTATGTGTGTGCATGCGTGTATGCATGTATATGTGTCTGCATGTATGTATGCATGTATGTGGGTATGTGTGTATGTATGTATGTACGTATGGGTGTATGTGTGAATGTACATACATACATATATATATATATGTTTGTTTGTGAATGTGTATGTGTGTAGGTGTGACTGTGTGTATGGATGGATGGATGGTTGGATGGATGGATGGATGGATGGATGGATGGATGGACGTGTGTGTATGTATGTATGCACGTGTGCAGGAACGCATGCATGTATGCATGCATGTCTGTATATATGTAGATACGATAGAGCGAGCGCGTGGGGCCCGATAGACTAAAAGGGGGGCCCCAGCTTGAAGCTACCCCCCTCCCCCCTTCCTTGCCAAAGGGGGGGGGGCTTCGGAAGCCCCCCCCCCCTCCCCCTTCTCGTGGTTCGGAAAGGGGGTGGGGGGCTTCCAAGCTACCCCCCCCCTTCCCCTACCTTTAATTGAGCCGGGGGGTGCCCCCACCCCCCCCCCCCCTTTGAAAGGGGGGGGGGTGGGGGGGTTGGGGGCTTCGGAAGCTACCCCCCCCCCCTCCCTTTTCCTGGCCGGAAAGGGGGGAGGGGGCTTCCAAGCTACCCCCCCCCCTCCCTCCTTTTAATGGAGCTGGGGTGAGCCACACCCCCGCTTTGAAAGGGGGGGGCTTTGGAAGCCCCCCCCCCTCCCTCCCTTGGTGCAAAAGGGGGGGCTTGAAGCCCCCCCCTCCCTTCCCCCCTTTGGCCGCCCAGCTCCCGGAGCCATCGCCCTCCCTTTCGCCTCCATTTATTCCCGCCCCTCTCCCTCCTCCTCTTCTTCCTTTTGTCTCCTCCTCTTCCTCGTCCCCCTCATCCTCCTCATAGTCATCCTCCTCATCCTCCTCATCCTCATCCTCATCATCACCATCACCATCACCATCACCATCATCCATCATCATCATTCATCATCATCATCATTATCATCATTCGGTACTCCCCCGCTGGGGTCCTTCCGTTTCCGTTCTCATCCTCCTCCCCCCCCCGGTTTTTTCTCTCCTCCTCCCTCCCATCTCCTTTTTTCCCATCTTCCTCCTCCTCTCTCATCGCCTCCTCCTTCCTCCTCCTCATCATCATCTTCATTCTCATTCATCATCCTATCGTGATCCTCATCCTCCGCTCAGTTTCCCCTCTCCTCCTCCCCTACACCTCCCTCTCCTCCTCCCTCCACCTCCCACCACCCCCTTCCCCTTACCTCTAACCTCTCCTCCCTCTCCTCCTCCTCCTACCTCCTCCTACTCTCTCATATCCTCCTCCTCCTCCAATTCTTTTCCCACCGCCCCACCACGACCGTCACCCGAACTCGGCGCGCTCTTCTATCTGTCCTCCAATTCTTTTCCCACCGCCCCACCACGACCGTCACCCGAACTCGGCGCGCTCTTCTATCTGGGTCCGTCCTCCTCCTCCTCCTCCTCCTCCTCCTCCTCCTCCTCCCCCTCCTCCTCCCCCTCCGCCTCCCCCATCCTCCGCCTCCTCCTCCCCCAGCTGGCCGCCGTCTTACACGAACACTGCCAAACCCGACGGGCTGGCGTCTTCCGAATTACACTTTGTGCAACTTTCGGGGGGGATAGTATTTTTCCCAACCCTCCTTGGTTGGGTATTCGTTTTGAATAGGGCAGTGTGGTCTCCACTTCCTCCTTCCCGTCCCGTCTCCCTCTTGCCTCCTCCTGTCTTGCTTGCGGGGGGCTGCGATCTGTGAAACTGTCGCCACTTTCGAGGCCTGCTGGGGGGCCCAGCACAGTGACGCCACGGGCGGACCCAAATTAGACCTCGCCATCCCTGGGGGGCTGCGATCTGTGAAACTGTCGCCACTGTCGAGGCATGCTGGGGGGCCCAGCACAGTGACGCCACGGGCGGATTCAAATTAGACCTCGCCATCCCTGGGGGGCTGCGATCTGTGAAACTGTCGCCATTTTCGAGGCCTGCTGGGGGGCCAGCACAGTGAGGGCCACGGGCGGATTCAAACTAGACCTCGCCATCCCTGGGGGGCTGCGATCTGCGAAACTGTCGCCATTTTCGAGGCCTGCTGGGGGGCCCAGCACAGTGAGGGCCACGCGCCGATTCAAATTAGACCTCGCCTTCCCTGGGGGGCTGCGATCTGCGAAACTGTCGCCATTTTCGAGGCCTGCTGGGGGGCCCAGCACAGTCAGGGCCACGCGCAGATTCAAATTAGACCTCGCCATCCCTGGGGGGCTGCGATCTGCGAAACTGTCGCCACTTTCGAGGCCTGCTGGGGGGCCCAGCACAGTGAGGCCACGCGCGGATTCAAATTAGACCTCGCCATCCCTGGGGGGCTGCGATCTGTGAAACTGTCGCCACTTTCGAGGCCTGCTGGGGGGCCCAGCACAGTGACGCCACGCGCGGACCCAAATTAGACCTCGCCATCCCTGGGGGGCTGCGATCTGTGAAACTGTCGCCACTTTCGAGGCCTGCTGGGGGGCCCAGCACAGTGAGGGCGACGGCGGATTCAAATTAGACCTCGCCATCCCTGGGGGGCTGCGATCTGTGAAACTGTCGCCACTTTCGAGGCCTGCTGGGGGGCCCAGCACAGTGACGCCACGGCGGACCCAAATTAGACCTCGCCATCCCTGGGGGGCTGCGATCTGTGAAACTGTCGCCACTTTCGAGGCCTGCTGGGGGGCCCAGCACAGTGACGCCACGCGCGGACCCAAATTAGACCTCGCCATCCCTGGGGGGCTGCGATCTGAGATCCCCGCTTTCGAAGTGGCTAGGGTTGCTCAGGGATTGCAACTAATCAGCTTTATCTAGTCCTTGTCCTGAAGCCAGTTTCCTGCGAGTCTCCCGAATTCCGTCTGCAGACATATGTAACCCTCGCTCCGTCATCGCCCCCCTTATAAAGTGTCCTAAACTATTGCGAAGGCCTGACGGCCGGTGCCGCCGACCCTGTTCGCAATGCGCAGCAAGAGGCACGGGCTGTGGGATGGTTTTGGGGAACGGGGAGAAGGACGAGAAGGTGGGGGAGGGAGGTGTCGTGTCTGACCCGGGACTTCCCCGGGACTCCCCCGGGACCCCCCCCGGGACCCCCTCTCCCTCCCCCGGCGGGGAAGGGAAAGGGAAGGGGCTTCCCTTCGACTCAATTACGACGTTGCTCAAGGTCGGTACGGGGGGGGGCGTCGTATCTGACCTTGGGGGGGGGTCGCTACCGCCCCCCGCTACCCCCCCCTCGCCTCCCGGCGGGGGAGGGATCAAAGGGAAGGGGCTTCCCTTCGACTCAATTACGAGGTTGCTCAAGGTCGGCTTGGCTGGAGCCCAGGGGAAGAGGAGTCCCAGGGGGGGGCGTCGTATCTGACCCGGGGGGGGGGTCGCTACCCCCCCCCCCTCCCTTCCCCCCCTCCGGCGGGGGAGGGAAAGGGAAGGGGCTCCCTTCGACTCAATTACGAGGTGCTCAACCCAGGGGAAGAGGAGTCCAGGGGGGGGCGTCGTATCTGACCCGGGGGGGGGGTTCGACTCACCCCCCCCCCCTCCCGGCGGGGGAGGGATCAAAGGGAAGGGGCTTCCCTTCGACTCAATTACGAGGTTGCTCAAGGTCGGCTTGGCTGGAGCCCAGGGGAAGAGGAGTCCCAGGGGGGGGCGTCGTATCTGACCCGGGGGGGGGGTCGCTACCCCCCCCCCCCTCCCGGCGGGGGAGGGATCAAAGGGAAGGGGCTTCCCTTCGACTCAATTACGAGGTTGCTCAAGGTCGGCTTGGCTGGAGCCCAGGGGAAGAGGAGTCCCAGGGGGGGGCGTCGTATCTGACCCGGGGGGGGGTCGGTACCCCCCCCTACCCCCCCCCCTCCCGGCGGGGGAGGGATCAAAGGGAAGGGGCTTCCCTTCGACTCAATTACGAGGTTGCTCAAGGTCGGCTTGGCTGGAGCCCAGGGGAAGAGGAGTCCCAGGGAAAGGGAAGGACAGAGACGACGAGTACAAAGAATGACGGAGATGACGGCTCGAACGGAAAAGCCCCTCACACACGCCGACAGGGTCGGCGGATTTGCGCCCCGCGTTTGCGCAGGGGTTGGGTACGTCGATCGTCGATCGTTGATCGTCGATCGTCCATCCTCGATCGTGGATTGTTCATGTTTGGATCGTCGGCGAAAGGGAGGGCGGAGGCTCCGGGGGCTGGGCGGCCAAAGGGGGGAAGGGGGGGGGGCTTCCAAGCCCCCCCCCCCTTTGGCACAAAGGGGGGGAGGGGGGGGGCTTCCAGCAGGGCGTCTCCAAGGGAGGGGGGGGGTAGCTTCAGCACCCCCCTCCCTTTGGAAAGGGGGGTAGGGGGGGGTAGCTTCCGGGGCGGCCAAAGGGGGGGGGAGAGGTGGGTAGCTTCCAAGCACCCCCCCCCCTTTGCACGAAAGGGGGGGAGGGGGGGGGTAGCTTCCAGCAGGGCAGCGCCAAGGGAGGGGGGGGGTAGCTTAAGCACCATCCCCCCTTTGGAAAGGGGGGGAGGGGGGGGGTAGCTTCCGGGGAGGGCCCAAGGGGGGAGGGGGGGGTAGCTGTAAGCCCCCCCCCTTGCAAAAAAAAGGGGGGGAGGGGGGGGGGTGCTTCCAACAAGGGCGGCTCAAGGGAGGGGGGGGTAGCTTAAGCCTAGCCCCCCCTCCCCTTTGCTCGGGCCTTGCGGGCGCGCTCTCTCGTAGATACTTATGTCTGTACGTACGTATGTATGTGCGTATATATGTGTATGTATGTGTGTGCGTGCATGTATATATGTATGTACGTGTATGTATGTATGTATACTTGTATGTGTGTATGTATGTGCGGATGTGTGAATACGATGTGTATACACAGAGAGGGATATAACAACGTGAGAACATCGGAATCAAAGGAATGGCTTAACATAGAGAGAGAGAGAGAGAGAGAGAGAGCGATCGAGGGTATACCTGCAGATGTACTCAGAGATATCAAAACGTACACGCTATATATGCGTATGTGTACACACGTATACTAGATATAGCGTTGTAGAGTGGGAGGGAGGTGGAGATAATGGCAGGGTCACACATGTACATGTGTAGGTGTATCGTGTTAGGCTCAACTAACTATATCTGTAACCAGACACCGTCATATAACCATCGATGGACGACGATAGTGTGGTACGCTGTAAACTACACGTCCATCAACACGTATGTATACATATATGCTCACACGAATACAGATGTTATGGTATAGCCAGATGCAGAGAGAGATATCAACAAAAAACAACAAGAGAGAGAGAGAGACATAGAGGGAGGCACTATTTAAACGTAATGCCTACAGAGAAAAGCGAGATATCGGTACACATAGTTATGTATGCACGTAAACACAACTTCGACCATGCATATATGATTGATGCCGGAGAAAAACCCAATCATAATTTTGATGGGGCTATAGGACTATAGGGCTATAGGGCTATGGGGCTACAGGGCTATATGGGCTATAGGGGTATAGTGCTATAGGGCTATTGGGCTAATGGGCTATATGGGGCTATTGGACTATAGGGCTATAGGGCTAGAGGGCTAGAGGGCTCTAGAGCTATAGGGCTCTAGGGCTCTAGGGCTGTAGTGCCGTAGAGCTATAGGGCTATAGGGCGATAGGGCTATAGGGCTATATGAAGGCTATATGGGCTATATGGGCTATAGGGCTATTGGGCTATAGGGTACCCGGGCACCCCCGGGCACCTCCGGGCACCCCCGAGCACCCGGGCACCCGGGCACCCACGGGCACCTGGGCAGCCGGCCACCGGCCACCGAAATCCTGGGGCACCGGGCACCCACGGGCACCCGTGCACCCACGGGCACCCGGCCACCGGCTACCGAAATCTTGCCGCACAAATCCTAACCCTTTAGAATCCGCTAGGACCCCTACAGATGCAAGCTCTGAGTGGGGAATGTGTGTATATATACACACATGATACCGGAGAAAAAACCCAATCAGAATTTGTTTGGGGCTATATGGCTATAGGGCTATTGGGCTATAGGGCTATAGGGCTATAGGGCTAGGGCTATAAGGCTATTATAGGGCTATAGGGCGATAGGGATATAGGGATGTAGGGCTACATGGCTATAGGGCTACAGGGCACCGGGCACCCGGGCACCCGGCACCCGGGCACCCACCCAGACACCGGGCACCCGTCACCCGGGCACCCGGGCATCTGGGCATCCGGGCACCCGGGCCCGGCCACCGAGTCGGCGGCGAACCCGGGCACCCGGGCACCCGGGCACCCGGGCACCCGGGCCCGGCCACCGAATCGGCGGCACACCTCACCTACTCTTCAATCCGCCAGGACCCCTACAGAGGCAAGCTCTGATTGGGGGATATCTTGGCGTACGTCTACTCACAGGCGCGGTACATATGTAAGGAGAAGTTGGGAGACAGATGTAAGGATGTACGTATGCAAGAAGGCAAAGAGAAATAGGGATGGAGTGAAGAACAGGGTGAGAGAGGGAGCGCGGTCTATATATATAGATGTATGTATATATATGTGTATATTTACATACATAATTCAGTTTAGTTCAACATGTAATTTGATACGTATCTATTCGTACAGCAAGAGGTATATGAGAGACGCGTGATACACCAGCAAACAGGAAGACGGCGAGAGGAAGAGAGAGTAGAGAGTAGAGGGAGGGAGAGAGAGAGAGAGACAGAGAGAGAGAGAGGCCGGGAACCGAGATCCATGAACCGGAATTTGGGGACCGCAGGAAGCCACGGAAACGGGAACCAGGAAGCAGGAATAGTGGTATAATAGATGCTTCGGAATTTGCTAAACTATTGAAACTACTCCATATGTGTTTATGTTAACTCTGGTCAAAATATGTATTATATACTTCGCCGACAATTGTACGTACATGTTGTTTCCACCGTATGGAAACACGTTGCTTTATGCGCGTAAGATCCATACCACCTTTTGTTTCATGGGCATAACTTGTTTTACACCTGATAGGAACTCACACAACATAGCGTTAGTTCATGCGTATACTCAGTGGATTACCGCCCTCTGCGGAGACTCCAGTGGGTACCACCCGAGGTGCGGCGTCGCCGTTTCCCGTCTTCTCGGGGAGAGTGCATTAAGTTTTCGCAGGATCTCTCGTCTCCGTTTTTGTTTTGGGGTTCCTCGGCCCCTCGGCGTTCTTTGTGGCGCGTGATGCGGACCGCGGTTTGCTCGCGGGCCTCCTTGAGGCGCGTAGCCTCAAGGGAGGCGCCGCCGAAGGCCCCAGCGTCAGGGTTCAGATATGTCCCCTGGCAAATTTGGGCACACACGCATCACGCTGTTCGTGGTCTCATAGGGAACTCCACAGAAAGTTTCAATAACATAGCTTACATGCGCCCCAAGTCCAGTTTTTGCACGCCCCCCACACGGCGCGTGGCTTCATGAGGAGATTCGGGAAGTTTCATCGAAGTCCCTTGTGGCAGGGTTCGCATGCGTCCCGGTAAGTGTTTTGGCGTGTCGTTGTCGCTGTTGTGTTCGAAGAGGTTCACTGAATATTTGCGTTGTGCTCGCCGTTTTTTTGTTCGGGCGGGTTTGTGTGGGGCGAGTCACGTCGCCGTTTCTCGGTGACATTCGGTAAGTGTGCAGGAATGTTCTGTTCTCCGCTGGTCTCTCTGCGCGGGCGGGCTGATAAGAATATAGGGGGCGATCTCATTTGTTATTACTACTACACGCTCGGCCTCCATCATCACGTCATACAATGCCGATGTCCACGTTTTGGCCATTTCCGTCGACGAGGCCCTTCTCCCCCCGTACAATCCTACGACATGTCATCCGACTGTGGTGGAATAGGTTTCGGTTTTGTCGACTCCGTTTCCCCTCAACATCATAAAATTCTTACGATTCAAGAACTTTCTCCGCACGTTTTGTCCACGTGGATTAACATAATCCGCTTCCTGGTTGAACTTACTCCGCTTCGCTTTTCAGCAGAAGGAAACCTATTCCGCGTCGCCTGAAACATGCTCCCCCGTGTTTTACGAGGCGGGGCGACTTCAGATCTTCATGGATTTTCGTTGTATGTGTTGCCTTGCCCGAGGGCGCGCAGGCCGCGGGTCCGTGCGGGCCATTTGGAAACATTGCCAACAACTGGAATAACGGCATAGCTAGGTTCGGCCTCCTCCTGTTTCGCGGAACCTCTTATTTCCACAACGCCCACGGGCCGTGCCAGTCGCTTCCGAGAAACAGCGCCCGAGCGGCTTCCATTTCGAGGCGCAGCGCAAAATCGTCATGCTTCGAGATCAGCAGCGCCTCAAATCGGGCGAGATTACGAAGCGGGCCCGGGCTCTCTCAGGCGCCCGCCCGCGCCCGTGCACTCGCCCGAATTATTGCCGCAAGGTCGATGCCAAAAAGGGCCTGGCCGCGAGCAAGTTTTGCAGGCGCGGGCCGCAGGGGCCGCAGAAGGCGACGATGAAGGCGGGGCGGTTCTTGATCGCGCAGCTGAAGAAGCAGCGCCGCGCATCCACTTGCACGTCGACGTCGCCCCAGGTGGATCTGGCGAAAAATATGGGCGCCCATCGTTCCGACGGCCTCATCCGCAAGATGCCCTTGCGGAGCGGCTGAAAGTGGCGCCCGGGGCGGCGAGGGCGTTTGCGCGCGAAGTAGCAGCGCGATGCGCGGCTGGTGTCTGCCCCGAGCGTTTTGGGCCTCAGCGCGAAGGGGCTGCGAGAGAAATCGGCTTTGTCCACGGACGGCGTCGTCGTTCCCGCGCCGCTGGCGGGCCCGGCGGATCGCTTGAATTTTCTGAAGCGCGACGAGCAACGCATGCGGCGGACGCATAGCGAGTCTTTCAAGCCTTCTTGGAACGGCAAGAACGCCGACCACAGCCGGGCACCGCTATCGAGGGCAGTCTCGTCGCGGGGCGGCTGCTCAGAGGGCGGGTTCTCCACCGTCGCGACTCGCGCGCGCAAGGAGCTCACCGGTGTCGAGTAGGCCGCGGCCGCGAGAGATCCAGGGAGTTGGTCGGCGCCGTCAAGAGACCGGGGCCCGCCCGCCGCAACGGCCCCTGGCACGCGCTCTGCGACAAAGAGGGCGTCGCGAAGGAGCACAAGGCCGCCACAGTCAAGTTAAGAAACCCGGGGAGCGGCATTGGGGCCGCATGAAGCAGACGCTCCGTCAGATGGATCTGAAGGGCGCGATGGCTCAGAAGACGCCATTGGGGGAGATGGCGCGCAAGGAGAGGGCGCGCGCCGTCTGCCGGCTCGAGACAGCGCAGACTGCGGCGTTGAATTGTGCCAGGGGCTTCTGGAAGCCGTGCGCCGTTGTGGTCGAGAAGCAGCGGGCGGCGAGCGGCATCTGAGCATTCTGAGTCGAGTCCGCGCGCGCGTCTGCGCGGCGCCCAGCGCGCTATCTGCTTGGGCCCGCCAAGCCGTCGCCTCGCCATCGACGGCAATGGCGGCGTCGACGACGGCGACGATGCCGGCGGCGACGTCCGCGGCGACGGCCGCGGTGACGGCGGCGGGGGCGGCCATGACGACGGCGGCGACGGCGCTGGCGTCGGCGGCGACGGCGACCGCGCCTTGTCGCGGCGGCCGCGACGGCGGCGACGTTGACAACGGCGGACGGCGCCGACGACGAGGTTGGCGGCGATGACGGCGACTTTGACGGCGTTGCTGGCAGCGGCCCTGGTAGCGTTGGCGACGAGGCGGGCCGCGGTGAGCCACGCGGGTGATTTTGGGGCGGCGACAACGCCGACATCGCTGCCTTGGCGGAATTGCCAGCCAGGCTCGGCTTCCTCCTGTGACGCAATGCCTTTTTCCAAGTTTTGACCATTCCCGACGAGGCCCGCTTTCCCCTGTATAATTCTACAACGTGTCATCCGCCTGCGGTGGAGTAGGTTCCGGCCCCCGCCCACCCTGTTTCCCCTGAGTAATATAGATGTATAACGTTGTAAGAATTTATTCGGCACGTTCTCACATCAACTCAATCCGCGTTCCGGTTGAACTCGTTCCGCTTCGCCTCTCAGCAGAAGAATCTCGACTCCGCGCCCCCTGCGATTTACCCCGCCCGTTTTCTACGAGGCTGCGCGACTGCAGATATTGAGTTTTATTTTCCATGTGCATAGCCTTGCCCGAGTGCGCGCGGGCCGCGTGTCCGCGCGGGCCACTTGGAATAATGACCAAAACGTAGCTAAAAGCGTGGCCAGGTTTGGGCTCCTTCTGTTATTCATTACTTTCGCATTGACTTAGCAGCGATTCGATTTCCATTGAACTCCTCTCGAATAGCTTTTTTGCACTGCGTTGCGATCGCTTGCGCTGGACTGCATTGCAGTCCATATTTGATGGGTTGCGTTGTTTTTACTTTGGTTTGTTGTGCGCCGCATTGCGTTGCGCGCGGCTGGGCCGCGCTGACTTGGCAGTGGATCCGTAGCGGTATCGGCGCACGCATCAAGCCAGATCGTCGCGCCCATCTCGCCTCGCTGGCGTCCGCCAGCAGCGCCCGCCGGCTATGCCAGTCGTTTCCGAGACGCGGCATCTGAACGGTTTCCATGTCGAGGCGCAGCGCAAAATCGTCGTGCTTCGCAGTGTGCAGCGTTCGAAATGGGGCGAGGTTGCGAAGGGGGCGCAGACTCTCAGACGCCAGCCCGCGCGTGCGCCACCGCGGGAACTACTGCCGCACTCATAACGCCGAGAAGACCGGGTAGCCAACGCCGCGGGCGCGGGCCGCGTCAGCTGCGGGCCGCAAGGGCCGCGGAAGGCGATGGAGGAGGTGGGGCGGTTTTTGACCAGGCAGCTGAAGAAGCAGCGCCGCGTCTCCACTTGCGCGTCGAAGTCGCTCCAGGTGGATCTGGCAAAAATAAATGCACGCCCATGTTTCCGACGGCCTCATCCGCGATATACTCCGGAATGGCTACACGTGGCCCCCGCGGCGTCGACGGCGTCTGGGCGCGAAGGCGGAGCGGCGCGATGCGCGGCCGAAGCGTGCCTCCGCCAAGCGTCCTGTCCTGTCCAATCCGCCGCCTCTCGCGCCGCGCCTGCTCTTGGACTCGCCGAGGGGAGGGGGCGGATCTGCGGACGCCTGCCTGACCCCTTGGCAGGCGGGCCGGTGTTCACATCCACCGCTTCCCTTGGCGGCCCAAGTAGTGCGCAACGCCCAGTCCGAGCAGCCGCGGGCCCGGCAGGCCCAGCAAAGGGACAAATCGCTCCAGAGCGTTCCGCCGCGCTCTGAGGAGGCCGCGGCGCCCGATGCATTTTTCGGAGCCGCCGGCTTGCAAAGATCCCCGATGTACCCCGCCCTGACAGTGCCCCGACCCTGCCCTCGCCCATGAGGAGGAGAACGCGGTGCTCGGCAAGTGCCTGAAGGTCGGGCGGGTGGCAATGGGGGGTGACCTACATGAGGGGTGAAGAAAAAGGCCCCACAAAGTGGCCCTTTACCTTGCCCCCCCCCCATGTGTGCCCCCCCCCCGTTGCCACCCGCCCGGGAAGGGCGCCCTCGGCTGCGCGGAGAGGCTCCAGGCGGAGAGGGAGCAGCTGCGGGGGCGCATGGCGCAGCTGCGCCAGGCCGGGGAGCGGCGGGCGGCCGCAGGCGCCACCTGGCGCCCGGCCGGGGCCTCACCTTCCGAGCTTTTCGCTCCTGCCCTGCCCATCCGCGTGCCTGCCTTCTCTGCCGGTCTTGGGCTTCGGCCTTCCGAGGGGGTAAAGGTGCCCAGACCGCCACCCTCCCCTTTTTGCCCCCCTTCTGGGCCCCCTGGGAGGCCCTCGTCGCCACCGCTGGCATGGCATCGAAACTCTGGTCAGAACGCACCCCAGAAGTGTTCTGGGGAGTCAGGTCCTGGGCTTCGGTCTGCGACCACGGGCGAACTCCTAGGTCGCCCCCAAGGGCGCGAACATAATCGTAATCGCGCATCGTGCGTCGCGGCTTGGGTTAGAGAGGCGCGTTTCTCCAGGGCGGCGTCGCGAGGGCGCTTTGAAAGCCGCGCATCGCGCATCGCGGGGGCGCGATGCACGAAGTTGGGTGACCCAGGAACCCTAAGTACCCCTGCGGGTGCAATCGACGCTGGGGTATCGGACACCTCCTTTGGTGTTTCCTCAATGTTCTGAGCCCCGGCCAGTTTTTCAACAATCTGACTTGCAGGAGTCTGGTTCGGCTGGGGCCTTTTTCTCCCGGCCCGTCAGCGCGCCTGCCTCCTCTGCCGGTCCTGGACCTCGGGAGGGGCCTTGCTGGGGAGCGGGACAGACCACGAAAGTTTTTTTTTTTATTGTTTGGGGCATGACGGGCGTCATGGCCCCCGACCCCCCCTATGACGTAACGCTCCCCCCTCCCAGTGCGTTCCGGGCACTGTCGCCGTGCGCATTGGGATCCGCGTAGGTGTCCGCGTAAGAATCCGCATTGGAGTCTGGTCCGCAGTCGTCGTCGTCGTCGTCGTCGTCGTCGTCGTCGTCGTCGTCGCTCATCGTCGTCGCTCGTGGCTCGTCGCTCGTCACTCATCGTCGTCGTGCGCGCGGACGCGGCTGGAGCCTGTTTATTATTCCGGGCCGATGACGGCAATCATCTGGGGGGAGGGGGTTGATGACGTCACGGTTCGCGCCGGCGGCATTTGGGAATGCTTAGGGATGACGGAGGACGGGTAGCATCAGCACGTAGGTGGCGATTTGCACCACAATGCCTGTGTACACCACAGTGCCTGCGTGCACCACAGCGCCTTTGTACACCACGCCGCCTATGTACACCACAGCATCCGCGTGCAACACAGCGTCAATGTTTTGCCACCGTGCCCGCGGGCACAACAGCTCTTGTGTACACCACAGCGCCTGTGCAACACAGCGCCAGTGTACACCACAATGCCTGCGTGCATTGCAGTGCCTGTGAACACCACGTCGCCTGTGTGCACCACAGCAACCATGTGCAACACGTCACCACTGTTGTATATATATATATATATACTGTTAGAAGGAATCCTTATGACAAAATGGAGCGCTTGTGGATTCCACAGAAAACAATATGAAGGAATCCGTTATGGACAAAGGAGCGCCGCTGGAATCTACGAGTCCTCCCGAGTCCGCCCGCATCACCCAAACTCCTCCCATTTGCGTCCAGGAGGTTCCACCTAAATTGGCCGTCCGAGAACCAAGTGGACCGATACAATAGACCATCCTGCGGTGCACGCTGAGATGCGCACGTGCGCTGTAGCGCCAACCCGTACGACAGCGTGTAAGCAGGAGGAGGAGGAGGAGGTGGAAGCGGAGGAGGAGGGAGGAGGGAAGAACGTCGCATTCGATTATCAGCACTTTCCTTGCGTGGCGTTGTCCGCAGCACATCCTCACGTACATGCTCCTTCTACCTTTCTTACGCACGCAGGCACTGTGGTGTACACCAGCGCTGCGTTGCACGCGGATGCTGTGGTGTAGACAGGCGCTGTGGCGTGCACAGGCGCTGCGGTGCACGCAAGCATTGTGGTGTACACAGGCGGTGTGTTGCACGTGGTTTCTGCGGTGTACACATGTACACTGGCGTTGTAGTGTACGCAAGCACACTTTGGTGTACCCAGGCGCTGCGTTGCACACGGTAGTTGCGGTGTACGCACGCGTTGTGGTGTACACGCGAGTTGTGGTGCACGCGAGCGTTGTGGTGTATATAGGCTCAGTGCGGCAGATCGCCACCTACATGCTGCTCGTGTCGTCGTCGTCGTCGTCGTCGTCGTCGTCGTCGTCGTCGTCGTCGCTCGTCGCTCGTCGCTCGTCGCGTCGTGCGCGCGGGCGCGGCTGTGGTGCCTGAGCCACATGGCGGGGCGGGCGCGGCTGTGGTGCCTGCGCCACATGGCGGGGGGGGGGGGCGTTACGTCATACCCCCCCGCCCCCCCCCCATGACGCCCGTCATCGCCGAACATAAAGAACCGCGCTCAAAGTGCGGTTTAGCCCTCGTGGGCCCACAGTCGAAGCCGATAGGACGAATAATCGATTTCCCAGGAGTGTCCTTGCATCCTTGCCTCTTCGGTCATATTCAGTTCATCCTCAACCGCTGTTGATGGCCAGCCGCGCTCGAAAAGCTTTGGCATGTGCGTCCAATGCCCCTGCATCCTTATCCCGCATCCTTCCTCTCAGTTTCGACTGTATCGCCGATGTTTTCGGGATGTCTCACCGATTCCAGGTCGATGTTCCCCCTCTGATTGGTCCCCCCCCATCGTTCCCTCTCACCAGAGTGGCTTTCCTGGCCAAGGCGAGTGTCCGCCACGAGTAGGCTCTCCGACCCAGATACGAGGAACGGCCCGACTCTTTTTGGAGGTTCCCTGTGGGCTCCTCCTCCTCCTCCTCCTCCTCCTCCTCCTCCTCCTCCTCCTCCTCCTCCTCCGCTCGCGCGCCGTCTGGCGCAAGGCGTCTGACTGACTGACCGTAAGGCCCTGGAGCTCTTTGGTCAGTTTTCTTCGCTGTCTTCGGGCCTTCCCGGGCGCGACTGCCTTGCCGCGCTCATCAGAGCAGGCTCGGTGGAACCATCCTGGGACTGCCCTGGGGGGCATCTCGGGGTCCTATCTGGGCGGGCCGTGTCCTCGGGCCGCGTTGGAGCCACTTCAAGGCTCTCTGCAGCAACCCTGCGAGGTTACCTCAGAAGCCCCAAGCACAGACGGCGCAATTGTTGGGTTCTGTGTGTTTCGCTTTCCAGGGCCGTGCTCCTTGGGCCGGCGGGGCGGGAGGGCGGGCTTCGAAGGTGCGAGAAGCTCCGCCGTCGGGGGCGGGCGGCGGGCGGGCGGGCGCAATTCCGAGGCACTCCTCGGCTTCCTGAGACCTCTCGACGTCCCTTCGGGCGTCCAGACGTTTCTGGGAGGCCTTTGACCTGTCCAGACTTTGTCTTTGGGTACCTTGCAGCCTTCTTGGAGCCTCTCCGGGCCGTCTTGTAGCTGGGAAGAGCGATTGAGAGCAAAACGCAGGGGAACGAATTTCCTAAGTCTCGGGGCGATGAGGCGGGGTTCGTCCCAGGGAAGTTGCATCCATCTGTGAAGAGTAGGCCTGGCGCATCGGAGTTTCACCATGCGCGCCGATCTGCCGATTGCGGCAGGCGCGCACCAACCAATCAGCAACGGAAGATGCGCTCGACGGACGTAGCCATGGCGTTGAAGAGCGGTGGTGATGTTGGGATTGTTGTGTCGACTCTCCGGTGCTTCTGGAAATGCGTCTGGGTGTTTCGATTGTCCACGTTGTGATCAAACAAAGACGAATACGAGGAGGAGGAGGAGGGGGAGGGGGAGGTGGAGTACGTGGAGGAGGAGGCGCACGAGGAGGGGGAGGGGGAGGCGGACGAGAGGGCTGACCAGGCGGAGGAGGAGGTCGTCGTCGACGTCGTCGTCGTCGTGATCGTCGTCGTCATCGTCGTCGTGATCGTCGTCGTCGTCCTCGTCGTCGACGTCGTCGTCGTCGTGATCGTCGTCGTCCTCGTCGTGATCGTCGTCGTCGTCGTGGTCGTCGTCGTCGTCGCCGTCGTCGTCGTCGTGATCGTCGTCGCCATCTTCGTCGGGATCGTCGTCGTGATCGTCGTCATCGTCGTCGTCGTCGTGATCGTCGTCGTGATCTTCGTCGGGATCGTCGTCGTCGTCGTGATGGTCGTCGCCGTCGTCGTGATCGTTCAAGCTCGTACCAAGCAGGGGAAGTCGTGTTCATTCTGCGCCAACTGGTGAAGAAAGCAAATTAATGGCAGGAAGACTTTACACATGTACGACGGTGACGTCTACAAGGCGTACGATTCGGTCGAGCATGGCGTTTGGGCTAACGCATTCGACAAGGCATGGGTTCTGCGGCCAGTGATGTCAGCTCAGATTCGAGAAGTTCGTTGCTCCGCTGGAAGCGTTAAGTTGCCTGGTGTCCTCTTGAGCCGTCCAGTTTTCAGAACCTGGAGTGTGCTCCAGGGCGACCCCGAGGCATGCAGGGTTTTCAATATCGTCTTCGACAGGAGCGTGGTCAAGTCGTTATGGGCTGATACACGGCATAATTATTGTGGCTTCAAATTGCAACGCGAGGATTTGGCTGCTTTGGACGATACTGTTGAGAGGCGGCGAGCAAAGAGTACGCGGTACAGCACCGAGCGTCTACCTTTTTCGTGTGTTGTTGGCAGTTTTTGGCTCTTGGCCCCTTCTCTGGTCCAGCTCAAGTCAATGGCCGTCAAGTGGTCTGCCTTCCTCTGGACAGCCAGCTTCATGGTCGATTTGACATAGGGCGTTTGGACGACGATTTCTCCAAACGCCTTGCTGGACTTGGTCAGTCCTGTTCCCGAAGGTTGGAAGTCGATTGCGAAGCACCCGTGCCTGATCAATTAGCCTGGCGAAGGACCCAACCATATGCAGTTGTGAATACCGTCGTTGTATGCACCGCATTCGGAGGAGCTCCCTCTGGGGCTACCAAACATGTGAGGGGTGTGCCAAAATGGGTGCGTTGGGCGCATGCAAACGCTGGCATTTGGGCATTCGGTGGAGCTCCCCATGGGGCCAGCAAACGTGTGAGGGGTGTGCCAAAATGGGTGCGGCGGCCGCATGCGAACGCTGGCATTTGGGGCCCTCAGTGGAGCTCCATATGGGGCCACGAAGCGTGCGATGTGTGTGCCGAAATGGGTGCGGTGGTGCCATGCGAATGCAGCCACGTGGGCCTTCAGCGGGGGTCCCTATGGGTCCAGCAAGCGTGCGAGGGGTGTGCCGAAATGGGTGCGGTGGTGCCATGCGAATGTTGGCATTTGGGCCTTCGGAGGGCTTCCCTATGGGGCAACGAAGCGTGTGAGGGGCGTGCCGAAATGGGGGTGGTGCCATGCGAATGCAGCCACTTGTGCCTTCAGTGGGGCTCCCTATGGGGCCACGAAGCGTGTGAGGGGTGTGCCGAAATGGGTGCGGTGGTGCCATGCGAACGCAGCCACTTGGGCCTTCGATGGAGCCCCAATTGGGCCACGAAGCGTGTGAGGGTTGTGCCGAAATGGGTGCCATGGTGCCATGCGAACGCAGCCACTTGGGCCTTCAGTGGGGCTCCATATGGGGCCACGAAGCGTGTGAGGGGTGTGCCGAAATAGGTGCCATGGTGCCATGCGAACGCAGCCACTTGTGCCTTCGGTGGAGCTCCCCATGGGACCATGAAGCGTGTGAGGAGTGTGCCGAAATGGGTGCGGTGGTGCCATGCGAACGCTGCCACTTGTGCCTTCGGTGGAGCTCCCTATGAGGCCACGAAACCTGCGATGGGTGTGCCGAAATGGGTGCGGTGGTGCCATGCGAACGCAGCCAGTTGTGCCTTCGGTGGAGCTCCCCATGGGGCCACGGAGCGTGTGAGGGGTGTGCCGAAATGGGCATGCGGAGGTCAGAGGCACGCAAGGAGGAAGGAGGGAGGCGCACAGAGCTTCTGCAACCTTCGATCCTTAGGTCAGCTTCAACGGGGATTGCAATACCGAGTAGCACGCGCTTGGGCAGCCTTTTATATATACCGACGTTTGCTCACAAGCCGGAGCGGGTCCCTCAGGCAACGCTTCTCAGGTTTACGACAGGCTGTTTTTCCTGTTGATTGTGCCACATGGGGAGTTGCAACTTTACCCAACTCCTTTTCGGGTTTTTGTGCGCTACCGAGGAAGCCGTGATGCGACGCATCTTGCGGCACAAGTTCTTCCCGATAGGGATGTGGAAGAGGATGTCCCCGCAGAGTACATGACTACTACAGCGGAGCTCTTGGATTATTATCTCAACACATACAAGCTTCGACGTTGGGATGAAGAAGCTCTCATCAAAGTGCATGCTTGGGCAGGTCGCGTCGCCAGGTTTGCCAAATGGGCGCCACACCGGTGCGCGTTCAAGGCACTCCAGTACTGTGACCATTTTTATTCACGAAAGCTGGAACAGAGGTTTGGGAGCCAGTGCCCTGGCACAAGAATTCGAAACCTGGCGCTGGGAACAGCAACTTACTCGACCATGGAGAGAAGATTGGAAGAAGATCGCTTGAGAAGGCGAATCGTGGGAAGCTCACAGAGAATGTTGGCTGCCAGACCGTAAACACTACAAGAAGGTGTAAGTGCCCAGTATACCAGCACATAACTCTTCAGCGCATGATGCATCAGCCCCGCCCGCCTAGAGCGTCACGCTTCTTACCACAGGCGTGTGTCAAGTCAAGATAAGTCGTCGTCGTCGCCGTCGTGACCGTCGTCGTCGTCGTCGTCGTCGTCGTCGTCGTCGTCGTCGTCGTCGTCGTCGTCGTCGTCGTCGTCGTCTATGTCGTCAATGTCGTCAATGTCATCGTCGTGATCGTGATCGTGATCGTGATCGCCGTCGTCGTCGTGGTCGTCGTCGAGCCGCCGCGGCCGAGGCCACAGCCGAGGACTGGGCGGCGGCGGCGCCCCCGCGGCGCTCGCGCGGCGGCGGCCGCGGCGCCCCTCTGCTCGGCCGTCGGGGGGCGGCGGCCGTCCACCGCGCGCGCCAGATCCTGGCCGGGCCGGCCCTGCTCGGGCGTTGCCCGCGGTGCCCCAACGGGACCCCGCGGGGCCCGGGAGGGGCACGAGAAAGGCCCCCGCACGAAGCAGCGCCCGACCTCTTCAGGAGAGGCGCCGTCCAAGCTTCCCAGGTGCCACCAGCGAGCCCAGGGGGGGAAGTTCGCGTCGTGCCGACCGTTCGAGGTCTGGGGTTTGGGAGTGTTTTCGTCTGTCCTCGGCGGTGTTCCTGCCTCGGGGCGTCTTCCGGCAGCCGCGCCTCGCCGCTGGCGTTCCAGGGGTGCCGGGATCGTGAACCGAAAATTGGACGATGAGGAGCGCCCGGTTGCGACAGGTTCGCGTCGTGTCGACCAAAGGCGACCCCAGCGCGGGCGTTCAAGGTTGAGCGCTGGCGGTGGCTCCGGAGTCGGCCGATGTTGAACGATCTGACGTTTCGGAAACGGCCGATCGTTCAAGGTTGAGCGATCCCGCGGTGTCAGGAATCAACGCTGGGGTCGGCACGACACGAACCTGCCGCAACGGGGATCCGCGCGAACGGGGGTCAGCCAGTCTTCTCTGACCGACCCAGGTTGTCACCACCTACCAAACCACCCCAACCCAACCCGAAGGCCTCAATTTGCCCTCCATTTCCAGTGGGGGGGGTCGGGTTGGGTTGGGGTGGTCTGGTAGGTAGTCAGGTCGGGGAGCCATGTGGGGCCGACGCGCCCTTGGTGGCCTCCGCTGACCTGCTTTGGGAGCTCTTGTGCGGCCGGCCAGGCTTCGCGACAGGGTCCTGGCCGACCCGGGCTGGCGCTGCTCCGGGTCAGAGCGTCCCTGGCCTGTGCAGGGCAGACGCCGTCCAGGCCTCCCAGATGTCGGCGGCGAGCCAAGGGGGGAGCTTCGGGAGTTTCGGGTTCGAGGTTCGAGGTTTTCGGGCGTCGCCGTCGGTTCAGCCTCGGGATGCGTTCCTCAAGCTGCCCCTCACCGAGAGCGTTCCGGGGGTGCCCGGACCGTCCCGAACGCCCACCGGAGAGCCGAGTTCTGAGCAAAAAACCACTCGGCGTCCGAGAGGAGGCAGGCCTTCTCAGAAGGCCAGGGGGCTTCTCAGAGGCCATCACGGCCTTTTGGGAAGTCTTGTGAGTCTTCTCCGAGGCTGCAGACGCCTTCCCAGAAGGCCGCAAAGGCTTCGGAGAAGCCCCGCCGCCTTCTGACAAGGCATGCCCCCTCTCATTTTCCCCCTGGGCTCCGCGCTGAAGTTGGTGTGCGAGCAGATGGGGTCGGAGCACCGCGCCGCATCGCCAGTGTATCGCCGGTGCATCGGCGATGCGGCTCGATGTAGATCTCGATTTTCTCCATGCCGACGGCGGCGATGCATCGACGGCGTCGCTGGCGCATCGCCGATGCATCGGCGATGTGGCACGGTTCTCCGATTCCATCTACTCGGACCCGATCTGGTGCGCGCGTTACATGTCCTGTTCGGAAGCAAATCGTTGGAGCCTTGTACGCACTCAAAACGCAAAATAAGGATGCGCGGTATGGATGGAAGGGCCTTCGAGGTGGTGTTGTGTGAGCGCCTTCTGCGGAAACCCAGGGCCCAGGGTCTCGGTGCTCTGCAGCCAGCGCTCGTGGGAGGGGTGCGGGCGCTGCTCCAGCGGGGGCTGGCCTTGCGCACCTTGCATCTTTGCCCTTTCGGCGCGTGCTGTGACCGGTTTTGTCCAGTGGGTCTTGCGCCAGTGCCACTGGTTCTGCATGGGCGCCCAGCGCTCCTGCATCCGTGCCCCGTGCCCTTACCACGCGCGTCTGCCGCACGCCTGAGGCGTACGTACCAACCTCGGGGGTTGGCCTGGCCAGGGTCGGTGCAGGCGGACAGCTGGCGTCGTCCCAGGCCACGACTTCGCCCCAGCTGGTCTCAGGGAAGAGAGCCGGCCCCGCCCTCGTTCGCGACGGCGCATCGGCTAGGAGCGCTGCTGGATGCGGCGCGCTTCGAGCATGGAGGACCAGTGAGCCCGGGACAGTCCTGGAGGATAAAAAGAGGATGATGGGGACGAGGATGAGGACGATGATGATGATGATGATGATGATGATGATGATGATGATGATGATGATGATGACGATGACGATGACGATGATGATGATGATGATGATGATGATGATGATGATGATGATGATGATGATGATGACGAGGAGGACGAGGAGGATGCGAGGGGGGGCGGACGAGGAGGGGGGGCGGATGAGGAGTGTTTGCGGTAGGGGAAGTACGAGGAGAATGAGGACATGGAAGAAGGCGACGCCGTGACATGCTGGCCACGGGAAGAGGGAGAGGACGCGGGAAGACTAGTCGGAGGAGTTGGAGCGGGAAGAGGGAAGGGGCGGGGGGATCATACGTAGAAGGAGAGTGCAGCGGCGGCAGGGAGTTTCGCTTCGAATTCAGCGTTTTGCGGTAGCGTGGTGGCTACAAGGCACATCAGTAATTCGCCCATCGCACGGCTGGCCACAGCGTGCGTAGAAGCTGATGCAGCTCTGCCCATAGCTAGACTGGCCTGCTGGAAAGGGGGAAACAACAATTGATCAGGCGAAGTTTCGTGCAATCTCTCTCTCTCTCTCCCTCGTTCTCTCTCGTCACCCCTTGCTCCCAAGTATCTCCGAGCATCCACATCGTTTGGCTGCATCTGCTTGTGCAGTCTTGCCAGTGGCCTGGACGGTGACACGAAGTTCGGAGTCACTCTCTTTGTCTGTCGGTCTGTCTGTCTGTCTGTCTGTCTGTCTGTCTGTCTGTCTGTCTGTCTGTCTGTCTGTCTGTCTGTTCGCCTGCCTGTCTGCCTGTCTGCCTGCCTGCCTGCCTGTCTGTCTGTCTGCCTGCCTGCCTGCCTGCCTGTCTGTCTGTCAGTCAGTCAGTCTGCCTGTCTGTCTGTCTGTCTGTCTGTCTGTCTGTCTCTCTCTCTCTCTCTTTCTCTCTCTCTCGTTCTGTATATATATACACACTCACGTACGCACATGTCTATCAAAGACGCCTGGCGAATCACCGCCGCACCCTGCCCCTTTGGAAGCGCCTCTGTGGCCGACAGCTGGGCCAGAGCTTGGCCAAGCTATCGGGCCAGTCGTTCCCCGAGTCGGTTTGGAAAGAATTCGGGGAACGCGTGGGGGGAGCAAGAAGAGGAGGAGGGGGAGGATGCGGAAAAAACGAAGAGGAGGAGGAGGAGGAGGAGGAGGAAGAAGAAGCCTCTTGGGTGCCTCTTGGGGCACTCTTGGGGCCTCCTGGGAGCTTCCTGGGGGCCTCTTGGATGGTTTTGGGTGGCCTTTGGGGGCTTTGGGGGGTCTCTTTGGTCGTCTTAGGGCGTTCCTGGCTTGTCTGACGCCGTCGGAAGCCGTCTTGGGGGCCTGTCTGGGTCGTCTTGGGGCCTTCTTGGGGCATACTAGGGGTTCTCAGAGGCCATCTTGGGCGTCTTGGAGGCCTCTTGGGCTGTTTGGGGGCCCTCTTGGAGCCGTCTTGGGGGCCTTTTGGGCAGTCATGGGGCCCATCTTGGAGGCCTCTTGGGCGACCTTGGGGGCCTCCTGCGCGGTCTTGAGCTGTCGGAATGCCGAGAAGAAGCAAATGCCAAAATTTGTCAAACACCTCAGGACAATCCATGATCTTGGCTTCTTCGTGCCCTCCTGGAAGACCTCCTGGACGCCTTTGGGGCAGTCTTGGAGGCCTCTTGGGGGCCTCTTGGGCCGTCTTGGGCCATCTTGAGGCCATCTTTAGGCCGTCGTGGGTGCATCTTGGGTCGTCTTGGAGGCATCTTGGAGGCCATCTTAGCCGTCTTAGAGGCCATTATGGCCGTCTTGGAGGCCTCTTGGGCCCTCTTGAAGCCGTCTTGGGGGCGTCTTGGGCCGTCATGGGGCCATATTGGAGGCGTCGTGGGCGATCTTGGGGGCCTCTTGGACCGTCTTGAGCCGTCGGAATGCCGAACCGAAGCAAATGCCAAAATCCTTCACACACCTAAGGAACATCAATGATTTGGGCCTCTTCGGGCCCTCTTGGAGGACCTCTTGGAGGTCTCTTGGGGGCCTCTTGGGCCGTCTTAGGCCATCTGGAGGCCATCTCAGGCCGTCTTGGGTGCATCTTGGGCCGTCTTGGAGGCATAAACCTAAGGCAAATCAATGATTTGGGCCTCTTCGGGCCTTCCTGGAGGACCTCTTGGAGGCCTCTTTGGCCCGTCTTGGAGGCCTCTTGGGGGTGTCTTGGGCCATCTTGGTGGCCTCTTGGGAGTCTCTTGGGCCGTTTTGGGCTATCTTGAGGCCATCTTAGGCGGTCTTGGGTGCATCTTGGGCCGTCTTGGAGGCATCTTGGGGCCATTTTAGCCGCCTTGGAGGCCATCTTGGCCGTCTTGGAGGCATCTTGGAGGCCATCTTCGGCCATCTTGAGCGAACAAACCGACGAGATTGGGGAATTGAGCGCCTTCGGGTGGCTGGCGGGACGGGCCGAAGCCCCAGGGGGAGTTCTTTTGAAAAAAGAACCAAAACTAAAACCTAGAGGGTTCAGCACGCCAGGCACCCCTGTGATGAATCGACAGGGGGCGGCGGATCGAAGACGCCTACAGCGAATCACCGCCGCCCCCTGCCTTTGCGGAAGCGCCTATGTGGCCGAACGTTGAGGCCAGACCTGCCAAGCCATCGGACCATGTGTTCCCCGAATCGGTTTGGAAAGCCTTCGGGGAACACGTGGGCATCTTGAAGGTCATCTTGGCCGTCTTGGAGGCCTCTTGGGCGATCTTTCGGCGATCTTTGGGGGCTCTTGGGCCGTCTCGGGCCGTCGGAAGGCCAGAAAGAAGGACATGTCAAAATCCGTCAAAAACCGAAGGACCATCTATGTTTTCGGCCTCTTCTGGCCTTCCTGGAGGCCCTCTTGGGGGCCTCTTGGGCCCTTTTGGGCAACTTCGGCCATATTGGTGGGTTCCTGGCACGTCTGACGCCGTCGGGAGCCGTCTTGGGGGCCTTTCTGGGCCAAGGGGGGGCCTTCTTGGGGCGCTTCGGGGCCGTCTTGGAAGCCATCTTGGGCGTCTTGGAGGCCATCTTGAGCGTGTTGGAGGCCTCTTGGGCCGTCTTGGGGCCATCTTGGGGCCATCTTGGAGGCCACTTGGGCCGTCATGGGGCCCTCTTGTGGCCCTCTTGGGCGATCTTGGGGGCCTCTTGGCCCGTCTTGGGCCGTCGGAATGCCGAGAAGAAGCAAATTCCAAAATCCTTCAACAACCTAAGGAAAAGCAATGATTTTGGCCTCTTCGGGCCCTCTTGGAGGACCTCTTGGAGGCCTATTGGGCCGTCTGGGAGGCCTCTGGGGGGCCTCTTGGGCCGTCTTGGGCCGTCTTGGACTCTCTTGGGCCGTCTTGGAGGCCGTCTTGGACCATCTTGGGCGGACTTGGAGGCCATCTTGGACCATCTTGGAGGCCATCTTGGCCATCTTGGAGGCCATCTTGGAGCCGTCTTGGGCAGGAAATTGGGGAATTGAGCGCCTTCCGGGTGGCCGGCGGGACGGGCCGAAGCCCCAGGGGGAGTTCTTTTTTGGAAAAAGAACCAAACCAAAACCGAGAGGATTCAGCACGCCAGGCACCCCTGTGATGAATCAACAGGGGGCGGCGGATCTAAGGGTCGTCGGCCCATTCCGCCACCGTGCCTGGGTTGTGGGTCAGAGTTCTCAGGGATGCTTCTTGGGGTCTCTTCGGAGCGCTCTCGGGGGCCTCTTGTGGGCAGTTTTGTGGCCTCGTGGTTGGGAGCCTCTTGGGGGCTCCTCGGGGCCTCTTGGAGCCTCTTTGAGGCCTCTTGGGGGCCTCTTGGGGGCCTCCTGGGGGCTCCTTGGGGCCGAGGGCTCGAAATGTCCGTTCGGGTTCCCCATCTGGGTCCCCTCTTGAACCGTCTTTGAGCCCTCTAGGGCGCCTCTTGGGCCGTCTCGGGGCCCTCTTGGGGCGTCTCGGGGCCCTCTAGGGGGCCTCTGGAGCCGTCTTGAGGCGATCTTGGGGACTTCTTGGGCCGTCTTGGAGTTCCGTGGAGGCCGAGAAGGCGAGAACGCCAAAATCTGCCAAAAACTTTAGGGAAATCAGCGACTCTGTCTCCTGGTGCCTTCTTGGGACGCCTCCTGAAACACTCTTGGGGCGTCTTGGGGGCCTCTTGGGTCGTGTTGAGGCCATCGTGGGCGTACTGGGGCGATCTATCGGCGACTCGGGCCCTTTGGGGCCGTCTTGAGGGCTCCTCGGGGCCTCGTTGGCCCGTCTCTCGGGGCCCCCTGGGGCCGAACAACTCCCGCGACAACGCTTCCCGGAGCCCGCCAAGCCCTGGGAGATTTGAGAGCTTTTGGTCCGGGCCTTTAAGAGACCCCCCAGGGGTGAGGACTGAGGATAAGGGGATTTGGGCAGAGGACCTGAGGACACGCCCACTCCATGCCCAGAGGCATAGTGGTGGATGTACACAGCAGCCTATAGATGTTTCTCCGTTTTTCTCGTTGACACGGTGCTTCTTCTTGCGCGTCCCTGTCATTTCTTGCAACCACCTCTCAGTCGTGTCTTTGCTGCTGCAGCCAAGGCCAGCAGCACGCATGCACCGCTTCGTCAAAGGTGCCATTTGCGTCGCGTTCTCTAGGGCCAGCCACTGTTCCTGTTTTTGGGGCACGGCGCCGCTGCAATTATTTAGATTTGGAGGTCCAAGAGTTCTGCATCCATGCAGTCAAGACTCGAAGACGAAACAACAGCATAGACATAAACTTCCGGAGGTCTGCGAGGATTGTTTTGATCGGCGCTAGGTCCCCCCTCCGGCGCCTCCAGCGCCGCTCCTGGCGCGCTATGTGCTCCAGGGGAAGGGGTTTGGCGCGGATCCGATAAATTCGCGCGGACGTCCAACAGTTTATGCTTATGCTGGCTTTCTTGTTTTACCTTGAAATACAGAGACCGCTTTGGGCTCAGGAAGGGCTCTGGTTCAGCGGGCCGTTCCTCAGATCCAGATCGGGGAACCGCTTCGTGGCCGTGGCCGGAGAGGCCCCTTCGTGGCTCGTTCGGCGTTCCCTGTGGTAGCACGATGGCTGTACATCCATAGCTTGCGTCCTTGCTCACTGACTGTGGATTCACTGCTGGCCTGCCCGCCCTGCCCCTCTTAACAGCGCCGTGGCAGCACCGCGCAGGTGTTGCTCTCGCACTGCCAGGACGAGGCCGAGGGGGACGCCCCGCAGGGCATCACGCCCTTCGAGATCGGCAAGGAGTACCTGCAGGCACTCGTCGGTACTCGCCTGCCCGCGAGACTCTCGTTGGCGAGCCTGGGGGGGAAGTAGTTCGAGGTTCGAGGTTCTCGCGTTTTCGTCGGTCCTCGGCGGTTTTCAGCCTCGGGGTGTGTTCCAGCGGCTGCGCCTCGCCGAGGGCGTTCCCTGGGTGCCCAGATCGTCCCGAACGGCCACCGGAGAGCCGAGTTATGACCCCGAAACCACCAGGCGTCCGAGCAGGGGTAAGCCTTCTCAGAAGGTTCGGAAGGCATCTGGCCTTTGAGAAGTTTTCTAAGCCTTCCCCGAAGGCAGAGAAGACTTCTCAGAAGGCGGGCGGGGCTTTTTGAGAAGCA